TATTAAACATATATTCTTGGCCAGAAATGAAACTTTAGGGATGAACAATTAGATAATTTATGGGTGTATTTGAAATGAGCTCTTGTCTCATCATTAAGAATCATTTGTATCTATCAATAAATGATGGGTTTGGATTTCCACAAATGTGTTTCAAGTTCTTTTCCTTTATGAAGGAGCTAGGCTCAAATAATATTTTCACATACTAATTAGTTACTAGCAGGGTAAAAGCCTCTTTTTTTTTTTTTTATATCTGATGTGATTATCTTTTAAGCAACTCTTATTCATGAATCTTCTAATTTTTCTTCAGTAGATCCTCTTTAGTATTGAATCAGAGCAATGGATTACGACCAGTGACTCATACTTATGCTCCCAAAGGCATTTGTACTTTGCATCTATTTGGATTTTTTTTTCTTACTTGAACTTCAGTACTTAAATTGAGAAAAAATGTTGCTTATTTTTAGAGCAGATGTAAACTACCTAAACATTGTCATGGCATTGTTAATTCTTATTTTGTACCTTCAGTATTCCTAGAACTGTAGAGTTGAAAAGAAAAACAAAGAAAAAAGCCATTAAGATAACCCAGTAGATTTGAGAGGAAATACGAACTTTATATGAAAGCATAAATTTTTACCCTTTTTCCAATAATCTGTTTTTCTGGGAAGAGAATATATTGACTCAGATCATAGATACTTAGTAATAAATTCCTTTTTTGTTCTTTTGAATTTTTTGGTGAAATGTATTGGCCTCTTTGTAATGAGTTTTGGGGATTATACCAGTAAACTTATATTATGGTTTCTAATGAGCATAGATAAAGATGATCTATTCAAAGTTAGTTTAAGTCAGTATTGCATGTGTCCTAATGTAACATGTGTTAATCTTTTTGTTCTTAATGGAAGAAAGATCATTGCAAAGTTGATGATCACTTACATGAGTGAATTTGTATATCACAGCTTAATTCACAATTGGAAAAGATTAACGTGTCCATAGGTGTGCTAAGGATATTGTATTTGCCAACATATTTTGTCCAAGAGTTTCTCTTTTTAAAACCTTGTTATTCCAAACTATTTAAGGAAATAAAAAGAAAAATAATCTGTGTTTTCAACTAAATGAAGCTTGTTCTTTGTATATAGTAAAGAACCATAAAAGAAAATTCTGTATGATTCTTGCTATTGTATTCAGCCAGGAAATTAAGACTGCATAAGTGCCCTGGAGGGGAGAATGTGCAATATCCTAGTACAATATTTAAAAAAAAATTTTTTTTAAAGATTTATTTGTGAGAGAGAGAAAAAGAGAGAGCTGGCATGCATGTGCGGGGACACGTCAGCGGGGGGAGGGGCAGAGGAATTGGGAAAGAGAATCCTCAAGCAGATTCCCCACTGGGCAAGAAGCCAGACTCAGGGCTCCATCACAGAACCCTGAGATCATGACCTGAGCTGAAATCAGGAGTCATTTGGTTGACCGACTGAGCCATCCCAGCACCCCTAGTACAATATCTTTTAAAAGAATGTCCTTTACAAAATGTTCAGAGCTGTCCAGGGCCCCACTGACTTTGTATTTCTCACCAATTTTTTTAAATTTTATTTTTTAAATTTATTTTTAATTTTTTGAAACTTATTTTTCTCCAATTTAACTTTGTTCTAAATTAACCCAACACTGGTTCTTATTGAAAACTTTGACATCAGAAAGGATTTGAGTTTAGTATTCTTTCTTTCATGATTCTACAGTTAGGATTCCTATTTCCATGCTCTCTCATAGAGTCTACCACCATCTGTTTAAACACTCAAGAGTCTAAATGCTGGATGTTTAGGCAATATCGTTTTGGGGTTGGGAATCTAATGTTTCTTAGTACCAGTCCTTTCAGTGAGCAGCTTAGGAATGGAAAGAAAGTCAGGTAAATCCAAATTAGCTTGATTTTTATCTTCAGGTAAGCAGTTTGCAAAGCCCCATAAGTGGAAGCAGACCATTGCCGTGATAGGTCTGTCCCTTAGTTGATTGATTGGTATGGAGGAATTAGCAATCTCTGAAATGGCTCTTCAGAAGTAAATTTCCTCCAGGGGTCAAGGAACTTGTGATTGCTCTTTCTCTGACGTGATTTGCAGATACTCATTGTAGTCTTACTGGTGGCAAATACAACAACTGAAATGTAAGCTGTTTCCTTGCTATTTTTCATCCCCTCTACCTAACTTAGGTTCTTGAACATCTTGCCTCCTTTTGTGCTGCCATCTAGCTCAGAGAAACATTAAATTCATGAGTTATATTTTTATGAATTAGAAACTTGCTAAGATGCTTCTCCTTTAAGTACATTTTAATGCTATATATGAAGACGTCTTGAACTCAGGAACATGTGTATAGAAGACTTTGTTTATAAGACTTTCTAGTGAGCTTTAAATGGTAAACAGGGATTGTATATAATGGGATTACCTCAAGATATATTCTCTTGTGTTATTTGTTACCTGTTACGTGTTATCTGTTGTAAGGTTGAACCAAACACTCTACCTCCATTTTCCTTCATTCCTCTTTAGACTCTACATGACTACTAGAGTTGTTATCACTATTATTGTTGTTGCTATTATTTTCGGCATGGTTTGAATTTTGTCCTACTCCTGGATAAAATCCTTTGATGTCTTCAATACAACTACAGAATAAAATCTAAGTATTTTATATTTAAAATCTTTCATATTTTGTTTTATTTCTGCCTTGTCCCCTACATACTTTTCATGTTCATAACACAGAAATTTTTAAGGATATTTGAGATCCCCACAAATCTCATGTTTCTTTAGAGTTGCATGCCTTTGCTCTTGTTTTTCTCTAATTTTAGTCCTATCTCTGTTCTGGCCCAGCATTATCTTTACTCATCTTTATAGGCCTAAATACATGAAGCCTTCTCTAACCAGCCCTGGTATAGGTAGCCAGTTCATTTGTCATTTGTGTTCCTTGTGACCTTGGTCATACTGTTATTATCCCTTATAACACACTGTATTTATGCATATAAATGTCTGTCTATGCCACTATGGCATTCATCAGGCCAGGAACATTTTTTTTTTTTTTAATTTCCTGTCATTTAATTCAGTATACAGTATTAGTACTTACCCTTGAAATTTAAAATGCAAAAAGTTTTTAAAAAATGTTTTATAAGAGATTTATTGATATGCCCTATGTGTTGTAAATAGATATATGGTACCTCTTAGATTAGAATTTACTATAAGCTGCAGTAGAAAAAAAATCATCTTTTAAAAATTTTCTTATCAATCAAGTCAAGTGGACCAGTAACTATTTCCAAAACTCTTGACTGATCTGGCAATGATGTGCAACAACAAATAGTAGGGGTTGACCCCCTTCTTTTGTACAGATACTTCCAGTGGTTATAGCTAATCAGAATCCTGGAGTCTAAAATTAACCATGGCTATGAAGGGCAGCAATTAAGGTCATTTGTCTTCCAAATGAGCCAATGTAGGTTCCATTGGTAGTTTAAATTTATATACAGAGACCACTCACACTATTATAAGGGGCAGTGGGGGCCCTGAAGGCATGGGTTACAAAGCAGTAAGTCATTTTGGGTTTGTGATAGCAAATTATATTTTGAGAAAAACTTTCCCCTTGGTATATGAAGATGCATTTCTTAGCAACCTTTTTTTCATTGATTAATTTTAAATTAAGACGTACATCATTTTCCATGAAAGCATTTATAAAGAGGCTATTTTAGGATATTTAAAAGACATCATTAAGCTTTCAAGCTGCTAAGTTTGATTATTTTAAAGGATTGATGTAGTCATAAGAATGAGTCAAGGATGCCCATATACATATTCTGCTTTCGAAAATGGTTATTAGGGCTGTAATGTCATCTGAACATCTCTGATCTTGCCTTCTTTGCTTATCTCTGTCATTGACGAGGAATGCAATTTTTATTCATATATAAGCTGCCAAACTTTTGTTAAAAAAAAAAATGAATTCCTTGTTTACAGAGACAAATTTATAGGCCAGAAGTTTACCACTCCATAGTTTGCTGTTTGGTCAGATAATTCACTGAATTTCTTCACAAAGATCCCCATGGAAACTAAACAAATAACTTACTTGAAAGGAGACAGGTTATTGGTTTTTCTCATTAAACCCGCTGCTGAATTTTCATTAGTTCTAATCCATTTTCTTTCAAGATTAGACATACAGGCCTGTTCTTATTTTCATGAACTGAATAAAACTAAGTATGTTGAGTTTTGTGTGCCTGGATATGTAGGTTGAGAAGCAAAAGTAATCATTCTACTTCTGCCATAAAATTACCCCTGGAAAAAAACCTAAGAAAAATGACTGATATAAAGGGGAAAGGCTACCTCCATTTATTTAAAAAAAAAAAAAAAAAAAAAGGTTATTAAATAAAGTGGAAGTGGTGAGAGTGATTATAGGCTAATCTGATCAGTTTTACGTTTTAGTTTTTTCCCTCCTTTTAAGCCATAATAAGTGTGTATGAAAGTAATCTAAATAAAGTATGGAAGAATATATCACTGACCTCAAACACTTTTAGACCCTATAAAGCTTTATATGTTTCATTTGCTATTTCAAATGTTCTTTCAAAGTGTTCTTTTCAAGAAAGGAATTTGGTAAGATTTAAATATTAACTTCACCTTTTTGAACTCGCATTATGAAAAAAACAATTTTTACTCTTTCCCTTCTCCACACTGAAGTTACTAAAATCTATTTAGATTTTAGATGGTATGTGTATTTCAGGAAAGCTTCACTCTACAAGTATCTTTCACTATTTTTAATCTTTCAAAATCTGTGCCTCAGCCTTCCTTCTGAGGCTCAAACTGGTTTCTTATTCAAACAGAAACTACCGATAGAAATTCATTTTATGTGAAAATTTAACGAGAACAGTCAAAAACAGGAGTACCAATTATTATTAAGAGTGCCGATTACATATTCAATATAATCTTTCCTTTTCCAGCACAATTCTCAATTTTAGCAAATCTGTGTAGAATGTAACAATAATCTTTCTCTTCTTCTTTTAGGTGGCTGTACTTTTGATGATGGTCCAGGGGCCTGTGATTACCACCAGGATCTATATGATGACTTCGAATGGGTACATGTTAGTGCCCAAGAACCTCATTATCTGCCACCTGAGATGCCTCAAGGTGAGAATCATTCTGTTTACCCAGTGTTGGGGGAATGGCTTTGGAATATGTATCATTTTCTTACTTTAGGTGTAACACAATCATTTGTTACAGTAAACTACTGTGGGCAAGCTACTTGACCACATCTAAAAGCCTTATTGTTGTCTTTGCCTTTCCCTCAGTAACTTTTCTATAATCCTTTATTCTTCAAGAATGCTCATTATGTTTTTGTTATCTTTGACTGGAAAAATATAAATATTTGTGGGGTTTTTTTTATTTTTAAGAAATTTATTTATTTGAGACAGAGAGAGCATGTGCAGGGAAGAGAGGCAGAGGCAGAGGGAGGAACAGGCTCCCCGCTGAGCAGGGAGCCTGACGTGGGGCTCAGTCCCTGGACCCCCGAGATCAGGACCTGAGCCAAAGGCAGATGCCCAACTGACTGAGACACCCAGGCGCATCTGGTTTTTTTTTTTTTTCTTCCTATTTAATAAAAACGCAAAATGGAAACAAAAGCAAAAAAAAAAAAAAAACCCATAAAAGCATAACAAAATCATTTTAAAATAATCTAAAATGTAAAATCAGCTTACTTAGTGCCTATTCAGTTAAATGACTCGGGTTTAGTCCAATCAGACTGAAAGGAAAGATTTATATTCCGTGATGGGGAGAAGCCTTATCTCATTGTTTCTCTGCTCTCAAGCATGCAAGTGGCTCTGAGAAGAGGCAGCCTGGAGACAAAATTGTCAAAGGGAGAAGGAGGTCTTTTCTGGGTAAATTTTAGGTAAACAGCGCTGAGCCCTGTTCATTCTTTATCTAGACCTTGATATATCCTTTGATTTCTGGTTTTGTGATACAATACATCTTCTTACTGGTTAAGCCACTTTGAGTTGTGTTTTCTCTTACTTGTGAAAAACACATTAACATACAGTAGCAATATAGACATACCATTTTATAATGCTATCATTTATTAGTACTAGACTACAGACTAAATATAAGTGCCTTCAGTTCTACATATTAGTTTGGGACTAATTCCAAACCCTGTATGTATGTATGTGTGTGTATATATATATATATATATACACACAGATCTCCTGTGTGTGTGTGTGTGTGTGTGTGTGTGTGTATGTTTAACAATAACTTATTGTAAAAATTGAAAATGTCAACAGGAATACTAAAATATAATATTAAAAAGCATGAACTATTTTACTTCCAATATTTAGAAATAAATACAGCTTATAACTATATATTACATACAGCCATGTATATATAATGATATACAATATAATATTTAACAACATAATATATTAATATGCCATGTAGTAATACATAATCATTATGTAATTATTATATATAGTCATATGTAATTGATAAGCTGATTACCTATTGCTAATAATTTAAGTTTTAATTTGTTTTCAGTACTTTTATTATGATATTTTAAAAATACTTTATAATTAATTTTCTACAAATTCAGAAAGACCTTCCTGTAGTGAGTGAATTTTAGAAATGACAATTTTAGACTAGCCTTTGGAGATGAAAATGTCAATTCAAGTGAACCAAGGAAGAAATAGCATTTCTGAATTTACTAACTTATCTGATACATAGAGCCAAAAAGCTTCTGAATTTACTAACTAATCTGATATATAGAGCCAAAAAGCTTAAAACCTCAACAATAAGCAACAGTGCACCATTAGTACACAAAATAAACAAAACCAAACCTAAAAATTACATTTCCAAATTATGATCTGGAAAAGAATAAAGTAAGTATATTCTTTGACAAGTTCTTTTTGGTCCACCTTGTAATTTGTGTTTTGAGAGTAAGGTGAATTAAATCTGCTTTCTGTTTTAAATTGTCACGTTCCATGGCTGAGTAGGCAAATGGTTATCTTTGAAGCTGAACTGAGCTGTATTTTCTTGCCAGAGGAATAAATTGGTACTAGGTGGCTGACGCCCTTTGCTTCTTATGTTTGCCCCCTGTGTTACCAACAGACCCATTTAGTTTTGTGCATAGGTTTGTATTTCTCTTTCAAAGGTACATAACCTTATTTTCTGCATACATTTTAATTGAAGAAACTCCTGTAATATTTCACCTGAGCTTTCTCTGTGGTATATTTAGAATTTTTTTTTTAATATATAAAATTAAAAGGGGTGGGCTGGGATGCACACATTTTGACTGTTTGTCATCAGAGAATAATCAGAAAGATGTTGATTTATGGAAATGTTACCATTGTTAATTACCATTGAAGATGGATAATGAATAGCTGAAGAGATACTGCTCAGATGACCTTGTTGGCTCACCTCTGATGAACAGCTTAATCGGTGGTTACAGTACAGGATGATATGCACAGAAAATGAAAGTGTTTGAAATTCAGCCACATCTTCCAATTAATAGGACATGAAGTAATTAATCATGCAGAGGAAGGAAAAGGTCATGGCTACTTTAGTTTTGCCAAATGTGACTTGTATTTGGTCTTTAGAGAAAGTGAAAGAAAGCACCCTTGTATATCTTCTTTTATTGTTCTCTTTTCACAGTAGATACCATTTTTTTCCCATTTTCCTTCTGATATTTCTTTAAAATGCTTCTGATATTTCTTTAAAACATTGTTCATGAGTTATAACAAAAAGGAGACATTTATATTTATCCTGTTTAAATTTTATGAATGATCCATTTATTTTCAAATAGTCAGGCATGCTTACTTGTTTCATTTATAAAACCAACCAACCAACCAACCCAAACCCTCAAACCTTTGGCAACCCTAAAGTGAGAAGGTTAGGTCTCAAATGTAAACTTGTTATTGATCTATTGATCTCTCTAGACAGACTTGGACATTGTTAATTGCCTTCTATTTATTGACCATTTTGGACTGGAAATATAGAAGGGAAGAAGACAGATAGGGTGGACAAATAGATTAGGATAGTAGAAGAATGAAGATGGGTAGAAAACAAGAGGAAGGAAGAAAATTATTTCTTGAAGATATATTGCTGTCAATAATTGTTTAAAATGCTCTTCAGCATTTCCTAACCCCCACACTCCCTTTGTCAAGTGACAATGATGGTGACTGAAAGGCCTGCTAGGTGCATTAAAAATAGCATGCAAAAGAATTAATTTAGGCCATTTAGTATTAGGATAATGGCCAAAAATCATAGGAAAATAGGAGCACCTCCCCAGTCAGTCACTAAGGATATGTGAACTAAAATCACAATGAGAAACTACTACACACTCAGCAGAAAGATGAAAATCAAAATTTCAGGTTTTGTAAGAGTATAGAGCAAGTAAAACGCTCAGACACTACTGGTCGGACTATAAATCCTTACAAGCACTTTGTATAACCTAATGACCCAGTAAATCCATTCTTGGGTATAAACCCCTTAGAACTGAGTACATATGTTCTCCAAATGACATGTGCAGGAATGCACCAGTGCTCATAACAGGGTCGAACTGAAAACAGTGCAAGGATATCTGTTAACAGTGCAGTGGATAAATTTGCATTTATGGTGGTGCATTCATATAAGGGAATAGTACACAACAATGTACACGAATGATCTATTGCCATATGTGATGTGGATGAATTTCACAAACATCACCTGAAGGAAAGAAAGTGGACATAAAAGAATATGTACCCTATTTCATTTATGTAAATTTCAAAGCCAGGTAAAACTGTTGATGATGTTAGAAGTCAGGGTATTGCTTGCAGGAGGGGCTGCCAGGGATGAGAGATCATTAGTGCTTGGAAGATAGCCTGGAGGGCTTCTGGTTGGCTAGTACTGTATTTCCTGTCTGGATGGTGTTTTCATGGGTGTGCCTGAACTGAAAAATCACTGAGCTATATCATTGTGCGCTTGGTACTTTTCTCTCTATGTATATCTTATTTATTAATAAAAAGTGGCAGAAAATAAAGCAAAATAAAGCCAGTGCTCACAGAGATGCTATGGGAAAACTAAACAAATAAAAAATGTTACCGATTAAAATAAAAGATGTATCATAGGCCATCTCAAATGGACTCAAACTCTTTTCCATCATTCTGGATCCATGCCCCGACATTCAAAAATACTATGGTCTCTGAGCATCTGAGCCTTTGTATGTTCTCTTCCCTTTGCTTAGACAATTCTCTGTCCACTTATCCACTCACCGAACTCTTACACATTCTTACTGTGTCTATTCAAGTTCCATCTATGTTAGAAAGATTTTTCTGATGGGCTTGGAACTCTCATATTTCTTCTGTCCTCATTTCTGAATGTTTTCCACTGTAGTTTGTACATATTTCAATTGAGCCGTTATAATATCATTGTATATGTCATTCTCTCCTCTAAACTCTAAGTTCTTCATGAGCATAAGCTGTATTTTTCTTCTTCGATTTCCCAAGACACTATTTCATTTTATTTAGGCAAAAATGTCAACTTATATAATTTTTTTTTTTAAATACTTTGGTCAAGGATGAAACAAAAAAGATTTTTCTTTCTCTTGCTAAAAATTTAATTGAATAAAACAAATACCCCATTTCTGGAACATTATATTCAGTTCAGATTTTAACACATAATTATTAATATTTGGCTTTTGCCTTTATAAATGATTTTACTTATTTATTTCAAATATAATTTTAAATGTTGTTAATACTACCAAGAAGGAACTCCCTTTAGGTTTTCTCTCTCTCTCTTTTGTCTTTTGCAAGTCAAATTAATCTCAATCTAATATGGAACTAGAAATTATTCTTTGATCTCAAATACATCTGTGTCTGTGACCTTGTTTGTCAGATATTCTTTTATGCTTATGACCTCATGAAACAAACTCATTTGACCATTTTACTATACGTTCTGTCCTAGATCTGAGATTGGGGATCATGATTGAGATCTCAATACATTTGTCATCTACTATAATTATAACTGTGTTTTTTATTTAACAGCTTTTTGTAAAATGACTAATTGAATTTTAGTTTAGAGTCTCTAGAGTACCCATTTGATAGTATTTAAAATTATGACTACATTGTATCCCACCTTCAGGCTGGTACTTTTCACTAATAATAATGTAA